TCTCACTGGACTCTGATTAAGTGGACCTATCCCACGCTATCCAAATTCCATCTGAGCTGAATAGCAAAGATAGTTGTAGAAACACTATTGTAATATGCCAAGAACAGTGCTAGATATTTTGTATATGTGATTTCATTTTATTCTAACACCAACCCTGACAGATGGGTATGAATATTCCTACACAATGAGGCTCATCGGGTTAAATACTTGCCCAACGATACAGATGGAAAGAGCTAGGATTCAATTCAAGATCTGACTCTGAAATACATGTTTTTTGGTCTTCTGGAATGAGGAGGGCTACTTCTTGCTAAATAATTCCATCTCCCCCCCTTCTGGCTCTAGGGTTCTTCATGCATGTCTACACGAGGTGAGGACAACATGGAGGTCTTGACTTCCACCGTGGCATCTACTTTGGGCACGACTCCTTAGATGCGACTCCTGCGGTCCCCACTCACTGCAGCAGTTGGACGAAGGGCAGATAAGAAAGGCAGTGAAGCTCTGTTGGCACATGCCAGAATGAGGAGAAACTGTAATGGATTGCTCTTGAATGAGAATGAACATTTTCAGTGGTGGTACTGTGGAAAATTCTTAGTAAAGAACTAACGGTTGGATTCCCCTTGCCTAATGGTATCTGAACAGATTTAGCAGAAATTTGTTTATCTACCAAGAATGAATCCAGTTTGACTCCTGAAAAGACAGAACGTTTCTATTGAAAGCTTTTCAACAAGCTTTTCAAAATCATTTTTCAGATTATTCCTTTCCAGACTTTGAAAAAGGAGTATAAAGCCTATGGAGCCAAGCTTTGCCGCCTGAATAGTTTGATTTCTTCCTCACAGAGGAGAGGATCAGGCGGCTCTTATCATCGCACCTTGGGAGGCACTTCTATCAAAGAAAGAAAGTTCCATTAAGTGTGAACCCTCTGGCCAAAAACTTATCAAAAGAGATCAATAATTCTATAGGTAGAACCATCTTAAACATCTCGAAAAGTGGTTCTTGCAGTACTATATGCATGGGTCACACCCTGGAATGCAGGACCAGCACCTCGTGGAAAATGTTGCTGTCGTGAAAAATTGCCAGAGAAATGGGAGAGTGTGACATTCTTGTTTGTGAAAACCAAGAACTCAGTTGCCCTTCCCACCTTCTCATTTGTCAGCAGTCAGGATGGAGCCAAGAGAATATCCACTCCTACTCAGAAGAAAAAGAAAAAAACGGGAAGGGAGAAACACAAAGGAAAAGAACATGAAAAACAGAAGAAAAACAAAAAGCTAATGCAAGAGGGTAGCAAGGCTGCATCAGCCGG